TTTAAAGAGGGCTAGGGTTGAGGCTCAGTGGTTAAGCACTCCTGGGTTCGACCCATGGTACCAAAAAGAAAAAAAGATCAGTTAGAATAATTCTAAATTAAATAGCTATTTTACAACTATCTTAAGAAATTGTTGAATGCTTTAATTTATAAAAATCATTATAAAATTATTCTTACTATTCCAGATAATCATGTGCTTTTATGTTATACTCAATTAGTAGAGGCATAAATATGGTAGGACTAGAATTAAATTCTAAGATTACTTCTTACCTGAGCAAAATATCTGTATATCATAGCAAAATTTGAAACTGTCCTCATTGTTGGTTTACTAAAGAAAAGTTTAAAATACTTTCAAAAACTTGGCTTTGTGTGTTTTGTATGCTTCCATCTTTTTTCACAGTCGATCATTTTGGTGATTAGATCTGACCCTCTTGACAGAAAACAGATCAATTGATTCCAAGAACAGGAAGGGGTTGATTGTAAAGGGTTAGGAGGGTATTTTCAAAGTGATTTTTACATCTTGTTCAACATCTTGATTATGGTGGTGATTGCATGATTATGTGTTTGTCAAATATCACACTTAACAGGATGAATTTTACTGAATATAAATTCATACTAAAATAAGCATGACTTTTAAAACATCCTTTCTGTTTTCTTAATAACATTTCCAAAGCAATCTATGGGAGAGTGGTTTGGGATCACCATTTAACATGATTTTATTGAGACATTAAGAGCAACAGAAATGCATGAAGATCATTCTTAGGGTATAAGTGACTCATGCACATGATAAATATCAGAGAAAAGTAAGATATTGACACACCCATCCAAGATATGAACTTTACTTTTATGGATGATTGAGGCAGCAGCATATACTACTCTACCTGCTCAACAGCTGTACTTTGAATCTCAACTATGCCATGGCACTTTCACCAATTTGAAAATCCATATAGTCACAACAAGGTTAACAGAAAATGGGGTGTGAAGATTCTTACCATGTGCCCCAATGCTGTTAATTCTACTTTGGGTTCCTTGAATCCTGATTCCTCCTATATTTTCACTCCAAGGAAGTTTTCTGGAATGTGAAGGTTTGTGAACTGCTTGGTGCTCTCCTCTGAAAGGCTGGCTGAAGCCAGGTGTAGCACATACCTGTAATCCCAGAGACCCAGGAGTGGGGGGTTGGGGAGTTGGGGCTGAAGAAGGAGGATCACAAGTTCAAAGCTAGCCTGGATAATTTAGTGAGACTGTTTCAAAACATAAAGGGCTGGGGAGTGTAATTCAGGGGTAGAGTGCCCCAGGGTTCATTCCCAGTACTACCAAAAAGGAAAAAAAAAAAATGCAGTTTGGAAAAAAAATCAGTCTTCCCTAAAGAGAAAAATGGGTTCTAGAAAGAAAGATGGGTTCAAACTTTAGTTGAGTAATTGATCTTCCCTATAGGTCAAACTTCTACCCCCTGAGCCTGTTGAGCCCTTCCCTGGTGATTAAGGGTATGGAGCTCAGTTGTGTCATCTTATGTCTTCCAGAACCCGTTGGGGTTCCAGGTTTGATGCATTCTTTGCTGTATCCCCACCTCCACCACATCCATGTCCCTATACCTAAAAGAGTTAGAATTGAAACCAGTCTTGAATATTAGAGTGGGGCTCGTTCCCCCAGTGTTACAGATTGAACACTTAAGAAATGCCAAGGCAATAGGTTTTATTTAAAGGATAGAACAGAGACTCTTGAGGGAGTGGGGTGTGTTGGCCTTTTTATAGATATCAGATTTCCTTTCTTGTGTCTCCTCTTCCTCTTGTCTATTTGACCAAAAGGGCAGGAAGAGAGCCATCTAGGGGTTGACTTCTTGGGTTGGAAAATGTGATCTTTCCCTTTGCCTGGAGGTTGTTAGTAACCAGGGATGGGGAGTGCTATCTACCCATTTCCTTCTCTTTGATAATCAGCTGCCTGTCCTTTGCCCTAGTCTTGCCATCAGCAAAGAGGATGGGCTGAGGAGCTGCAGTCATGTATCAGTTCTGTAGGATCAACTTTCCCTTCTTGGCACAGGGTGTGCCCTGTATGTTTAAACAGCTAAAGCAGCAATATACAAATGCCAACATGACTATTAAACCACCAGACTATCCTTTGTGCCCCCTTGCGTCATCCTCATGGTTAAAACCAATCATTTTTAAGTGCGTCAACCCCTTGAACTAACCAATAATCCTTTCCAGATTCTTTCCCGCCACTTGATAGCTAATCATGTTTTAGAGGAGTTGTTTGATTTTCCCCCATGTGTGATGATTTGCTAAGAGATGCTATGATGTATGTAAAGTCCCTGCCTTCCCCAAAGAGTGTATAAAAACTGTTGCAAACTCAGGGCTGAGGGCTCTCTCAGCGTCACCAGTTGCTGTGTGCGGAGAGGACAGAGCTAGCTCGCAATAAACAGCCTCTTTGCTGCTTACATTGATCTTGGTATCTGGTGGCCTTTGGGGGTCCCGAACTCGAGCATATCATTGGGAGCTCCCTTATAAGCCTACCCAGACACCTTGATCAAGAGGTGATGAAAACCCGGTTGGTAAGTTAAGGCATTGCCCATCTGTAATTTTCTGTACTTTGGTTGCCAGCAGGTTCTGGTTCTGTATTTTCTGGTCAGCAAAAGGTCCTGGTGGACACACTATAGGGCCACCGACAGGGGTTTGTGGGAGAATTCTCCAACCCCTTCTGGGTTCTGAGTGGATTGCACTTTACTAAAGGCTCTGTATTTTGTAGCGGAGGGATCCTCCGTCCATGTCTGCATTTAGTTTCAGTTTAGCCATCCAGGCTGCACTGCATATTCTGTGTTATCTGTGTTTGTTTTTATCATCCTGTCTGCCTCCACCCCCACACCCTGGCAAGGGAACTAATCCCCCTCAGAATTCTTTCAGGTCATAAGCCACCAGGGAGTCCTGTGGCGGAAGACCTACTCTGCCTTCTGAAATCCTCTTTGAAATGGCCTCAGGGTGCTCATGGTTTACGCAAGGCATTTGCTGTCTCTTTATGTTACAACCTTGATTTGTGGAATAGTTGTAGCTGTTTTCTCTTTTCACCTAGACATGGGACAAACTCAGACTACTCCTTTGACTGTACTGACTGACCATTTTACAGACCTTAAGGAAAGAGGACATAATTTGGGGGTAGAGATAAAGAAAAGAAAACTAGTTACTTTCTGTTCCTCCAAGTGGCCCACCTTTGGTGTAGGGTAGCCATGGGAGGGGACCTTTGACAAAAGTCCTCCAAGTAAAGAACCTGCCTGAGAGAGAGGGACATCCAGATTGGATCCCTTATATCTTAGTGTGGCTGGACTTACTCAAGGACCCCCCCTAATTGGCTAAGTCCTTTTTTACATGTGGCACATGAGGCCAACATTTTTCTGGCAAAAGAGGTCGATTCTGGGCCAGGAACCCTGGAACCTACCCGACTGTCACCCCCCACCCCCCCATCCAGTCCTCCAAGGGGCGATGATGTGCTCCTTGGATTCCTCGCCCCCTCCCTATGTGCCCCCCCAACC